GAGAGAGAGAGAGAGAGAGAGAGAGAGAGAGAGAATATGCTAGAGCGAGAGCTTGGGCGCCCAGAGGTGTATAATAGTAAGGTGTACATGGAAAAACATGGAGCCTTGATTCTAACAGAGGACTGTTTAAAATTGAAAAGGAGAGGGGAGACCATGTCATTAAGAATAATAGCAAACTTCTATACTTCATAGTACTAACTGTATCCGGCACTGTTCAAGTACTTTACATTAACTCCTGTAATTACCATGGATACTTTATAAGGGAGTTAAAATTTACATCGCAGGTGACTATGAAAGATCTTAAACAGGGAAGATAACCACTACCATTCTTGCATTTTAGAAGGATCACTTTGCTATCATATGGAAGATGGATTCAAGGAGGATAGATTGAAGGAGAGCAGGCTAACAAAACCACAGGAGGAGGACCTGTGAGACTGAAAAGGAGAGGAAAGGAATGAGAGAGATGATATGGCTGGTATTAACAGGGTAGCCAATTTGGGTAGATGGAGGAAACAGGGGTCTATTATGATACCCAAGTTTCCAGATTGAAATCTTGGGTGACTGCTTAAGGTATTGCCAAGCTTGGCTGGTGGTACAGACCACAAAATAGTTCAGTTGTCTTGTATTTGTAGTACCTGTGGGATATCTGTCTGGGACATCATTCCATTTACCATCACAGCCAATTCAGCTGATTGGCAGATGGGCTTTTTTTTTTTTTTTTGACCCTATATCATTCTTATGTGTGTCCCTCCTAATATTTCCAACTTGCTGGAAAGCAACAGAATTCTCAGTAGTGGAAAATTATTATTTTTTTGGTTAAGGGTATGAAAATAATGCCTATATAACTATGAAGTAAAATAATAACAACAATAGGCACATTACATACATTGTTTCATTATATCCTCAGAGAAGCTCTTCAAATTAACTCTCATTATTTAGCAGATGGAAACACTGAAGATCATAGAGGCTCTGTGTCTTGCCCAAAGTTACACTAAGTGTATGTGACTTCACCTTTTTGCACTGTTTGAAACTTCTGTCATGAGCTTGTATTAAATTTTTTTAGTGAATAAAAAATAAACTATGTGGGTCAAATATGATTTGGAAAGTAGATAATAAAGTGAAGCCCCTCAAACTGAACACTCTTGTTCTGTCATAGCTTTGCCTCTTGTCTGAGTAGGAGCTATCCACAGAGGGTGTTTCTAGCTGAATGTAGCAAGTCTTCCATAGTCTCATCAAGCTATTTTTGTTGCATTCTTTTCCAAGTTATCGCTGCACCTGGAGAAAAGAAAGGGAGAAATAGAATTGGCTCCCAAAACTTGAGTGGTAGTGGTAAGGAAAGGAATGCTGGCAGGATTGTGATGGCGAAGTCATTCTCATATTTTAGCAGCCGTATTGGGGGTAAAGCCATTGAAGCACAGCCCCTAGTAGAGGGTGGACCTCAAATTTTCAATGTGTAGGGCTTGGGTTGTGGCTCAGTGGAGGAGAACTTATCTAGCATGCATGAGGCACTGGGTTTTATCCCCAGAACCACATAAAATTTTTTTAAAATGAAGATATTTTGTCCACCTAAAACTGAAAAATAAATATTTTCAAAAATTCTCAATGTGGTGGACTACTTAAAGAGATAATACTTTTGTCAGTAAAAAGTTTTAAAATGCTCTTTAAATGCCCCATTACTCATGTGGTTGAGGCTTAATGTCTAAACAGTGAACAAAACTCATTATCTGATGCAACCAAAGCATTAAAATAGTTGGTTGAGATACATAAAAATCAATATGTTGAATGTATTTAGACCTCTTATTTTAACTTAAAATAAGTAAACCTATTCATTCACCAGTATTTTGATGTAGGGCCAAGAATTTCTCTTGAGTATTTAACCCCATTCTAGAAGCCATAAAACACAATTGTAATGCTTCCCTCTCGTTTGCAGTTTTAGCCTAAGTGGGAAGAGGACACTTGACAAAAAAAAATGAGTGCCAGGTCCCTTGAAGTTCATTTATTTTCCCTAAACATTTACAATTTTGCTGGGCATGATGGCACACATTTAGGAGGTTGAGGTAGGAGGATCATGAGTTCAAAGCCAGCCTCAGCAAAAGTGAGATGCTAAGCAACTCAGTGAGACCGTGTCTCTCTGATGAGGGTAAAAACAAAGGGACCTTCAGGAAAATGTATCCTGTTAAATACATGTACCTCATCTGTCAGTCTTCGTGTTTACAAATGGACGAAAAATGCCAATTAATCCAGAAAGTTCTTTTCAGGTGCATAATCCATAATCATGTCAGGTTTAACACAATGTAATCATTAATGTTAGAAATTTTTCATTCTTAACAAGAATACTGCAAAAGATCAGAAAGCAAAGTACACTACTATAAATATAATTCTTACCTGCTAAGGTCTTTTGGTAACTTCCCATTGCTCTTAAATAAACCCCCGAATCTTTAACATGATATCAAAGCCATTTATACTCTGTCCTCTCATGACCTAAGTTCCTCTTTTAATATTTTCTACATAACCCCGCCCCCCCCCACACACACACAGACACACGGGATTGGGGATTCTTCTATTCCTTTGAACTAGACTTATATGAGTTGCCCCCAGACCTTTATAGTTGCAGTTGCCTCTGCCTGGACCTCTGTTCCCTCCCCCACATAATTGGCAAGCTCCCATAGAGCCTAAAGGGTTTATCTTCCTCTAAACTATGTTTTCTGACTAACTTTGACAAGAGCCCCTGCTGTGGGCTTACATTGCATCCTACGTTTCCCCCTTGTAACTCCATTATTTTAAATGGGTGTTTATTTGCTTGAATCCAAACAAGTGTGGGTTTCCCGAAGGCAAGGACCAGCATGTTTACAGCTCTATCTCAAGCTCCTCTTGCAATGCCTGACACTGTTTGATTACTTGTTTGGTTGAACCAGTTATACACTTTGAAGAGGCAGGACTGTTGGTTAGGGATGGAGGACCTCAGAACCTGACTCCTCTGTTATTCACCACTTAAAAGTTGTGTAACTCACATAAGATTTGAGCTTTCAGTTTCTTGACTATATAGTCAGAGAAATAACAGAACCTAAAAAGAGGTTATAAAATGAGATAACATATAAAGTACTTAGTCATAGACCTCTTCAGTATATGTCAGCTACTATTTCTTTCGCTGAAGTGATGTATGGTTATTCTGTTTCATTTTATATACATTTTATGTTGATATAAATGTTTATGTTATAAGCAGCCAATTATCATCTTACATGATAGTTACATCTATGAAGTCACAGCAAACATTGAATCAGCTATATGGAGCCATTGTTCCCAGGGCTCAATGTGAGGCTGAGTGAGGTTCCTGTGAGCCTCACCTCACATCATCATCATCAACTGATCAATATATCATCTTGTTTTATTTGTGTTTCTGTTGAAAAGCATCTTGTTTATTATACGTTATTGGGTTCATTGACAATAAACTCACCACTAACTTGTGCCTGAACAAATCTATCACTTGGGTTTTCTCTGTAAGGTACACCACAGCTTTTTTATGGTTAGGGACACTAGACAGCACTCCAGCACGATGCTTGGGTCCATTTTACCCCACAAAATCATCAAAACAAAACAAAAACAGAAAACAACCCTGAAAAGTGTGACACTGAAGAGACCACACAAAGGACACTTTTTCTCCAGTATGAGAGGGAAAAAA